CGGTTATGCATAGGCCACACTTCTTGCTGATGTTACTGTACGAAGGTGCTCTATCCTTGATCTCCCATCTGATGTCGAATCCGCGGTTCTCGTTTTTCAGATCCCAGATGTGCTTGGACAACTTAGTCGATGCGGCGTACTTTTCATGGCGGAAGTCCGAAGTGTGTTTGTTGTAGCGCTGCTTGAATGTGGTAGCAGTCATGCCGACGTAGGTCTTGGCTTCGTTGGATGCTACATGCGCCTCGTACACGACGTCGGAAAACTGGCAGTCACCGTTGAGGGGGCACGACGCCTTGACCCGACAATACATGGCACAACTGGCGGTCGTGAGTGAAGTTTTGCACCATTGTGCCCTTTGATAATCGACGCTACGTTCTTCATACAGCTGTAGCTTACTTTTGTTGTGTTCTTGTTAAACACCTTGTGTAGCGCCGACCCTTCAGGGAAGTGTTTCTTGACGAGGTATAGAAACTTTGCGCCAACGTTGGTTTTGACTGTGGTACTGTACGGCGGGTTAAACCAGATGACGTCACGGCTGCGCCCTTTCTTCGCTTTTTTCTTCTTGTTGCTCGGTTCATCCTTGTATGTCATGGTTTTCGGGTGGCCACTTCAGGCCAGTGCTACACAAGGTGTTTAACTACACAAGGTGTTTAACGGCAGGAGTGGGCGTTCTGTCACAGACTCCCACAGACCCAAGGCAATTTTTGATTTTTTTTTAGGTTCAGGGCGTGCTACGAGGTCAACAACAGCAACAAGAACAACAACAACAACAACAACAACTACAACAATAACAACAACAACAACAACATCAGCCGCAACAAGAGCAGCAACAACAACAACAACCACAGCAGCAACAAGAGCTGCAACAACAACAGTGACAACAACAATAACAACAGCAGCAACAACAGCAGCAACACAGCAACAACAGCAGCAACAACAGCAGCATCAACAACAGCAGCAACAACAGCATCAACAACAGCAGCATCAACAACAGCAGCAACAACAGCAGCCGCTGTAACAGCTACAACAATAGCAACAACAACAGCAGCAGCAACAATAGCAACAACAACAGCAGCAGCAACAACAGCAGGAACAACAGCAACAACAGCAGCAGCAACAACAGCAGCAACAACAGCAGGAACAACAGTAACAACAACAGCAGCAGCAATAGCCGGAACAACAGCAACAACAGCAACAACGACAGCAACAACAACATTGTGCTATATTGAAGAATTGGAGATGGTTCCAATTTGCTCCGGGAAATACCTTCTTTGATCTCGCTCATCGTCCTGAAGATGACTCAAGTTTTCCCGCGGCTTCCGAGCCGGCTTTTCCTGCTGCGGGATCACACCTTTTTCAGCACTCATGGTGACCGTGACTACTGAGTGTGACGGTTGTAGGCAAACAAACTTTGCAAGGAAAGCAAAAAGAGCGGGGAACGCAAGAAGAGTTTGGGAGAGTCTGTAGCTGCTTCTTACTCTGTCAATCCAGGAAAGTTATGCTGGTTTTCATGAGGAACGTGGTTTTATAAAGGATAAAGCTTCTCCGCTCTCCTACGCGACATAGCGTGACTGACTTCCGTGAACCATTCCACCTCTCAAAGAGATAATTAGTTTTTCAGTACAGTGTGCATGGTTCAAGTGCATGTGGACCCTACATCAGCCACACACATACTTCGGCTTCTTGGCACCTTTTAACTTGCGGTAAACAGAATACAATGGGCTTGGACCGATAGTTGGATGCGCGGGGATAGATCACCCTCGTATCAGAGAATGCATGGCTAGTTTCCTGCAGACCTATTGGTTGAGAACTATTGAGCAGATCAATGATTATTGCGTATTAGAACCTTCACTATACTGTCGTTTTATTCTCTACCAACGCGCAGTTTTGGCGAACAATACTAGAGGTCCGCAAGGGCTTCCTGCGTCACAACTCGGTGCGCTCTGTAAGGAGCTGAATGTGCTGCAAGCCTACCCACCAACCCGAATAGAAACTTTGCCGTGTATTTGGCCCCCAACAGCGAATCGCAACACCACGACGACACTGAGATGGCCGCAGAAACCCTGATCACTGGTCCATCCGCACAGCAGATCAACTCTGAGACTGAGGACGTTACGTGTTTCAGCATAGCACTCGTATTGGATCTTCATTGCCCGATGGGCTCGCATGCACTACCGCATGACTATACTGTAGTACGCGTTCGACCAAGGAGAGTGGGCCCTTTCTGCTCCAGCGAAGTATTGCTCCTATTGCAAGAAGATTGATCGTGACAACTGAAATTTTGGATTCCTATCCGCATAGCGCTACAAGACCAGTAGTAGGTGAGAGTACGTTTACTGGTGTACATGAGGATGCAGCAAGGCTTAGGGTGCTGCTGAACTGGTGCGGCAAGGGTGCTGCTGCACCAGTGCGGCAAGGGTGCTGCTGCACCAGTGCGGCAAGGGAGCTGCTGCACTGGTGCGGCAAGGGTGCTGCTGCACCGGTGCAGCAAGGGTGCTGCTGCACTGGTACGCCGGGTCGCACGCCTCCTGTCGCTGCGTGGGAGGGAGGCGTGGTGGTTTCCGATCTTCGCTGCAGGCTGGCTTTGGCCCTGTTGCGTTTGAGTGTTGTGTGTCTGCTTGGGGCTCAACGAGTTTGGAGGCCGCCTATGGAGGACTGTGGCTCCCTGGCTGTCGTGGATGCTAAGGTGGCCCTTTGAGCCTTGGCCCATGCTTGTAACTTGAGCATGTGTGAGCTTCTCTAGCTCTCTGATCACTTTATTTTAATTTTAAAAGTTTTGTGGAAATTAACCAAGAAAAATGGCTTTCATTATATGAGTTGTTTTCCATTCCTTAACATGGCAAATTGTGTTTTGTTCGCCCATAAAAGAAGCTTTAGGCAACCCTACAAATAAATAAAACGAGACTTTGCACTTCACGCTTTTTTCAAATTTCCAAAGTGTGAGGAACTGTGCGTTGGATCGATATTTTTCCCCTTGACTTTGCCCACTGTCGCCCTGAAATCTCACGTCGCAACGTGAGGAATGCCATTTTGGCCGTGAGATCTCCCTTAGGAAATTGAAAAAAAAGTGAACTGCGTAAATTCTCTGGTGCCAACCTACTAGCCGCACTGTACCTAGTCTATGGTCAGTCGTCCGTTATAATGTACTTTTTTATTTTATTTTTACCTGTTATATGTGACAACCAAATCATGCTTGAAGCGTCATCCAGCTACCTCAGCCGACTGGACCGAGTCCAGCACAGCGCCCTCGGAATCATCGGTCCGGGAGCAATACTGCCTAGTCTGGCAATCAGACGGACAGTAGCTGCCCTAGCTTGTTTATACAAACTACAAGTAATTACGGGCCCACCTCAGGTTCTCGCGGTTCTGCCAGCTCGCCGTCAGCAGTCGGCCAACCCGCGAACCCGGAGCGACAATGCAAGCGCCGCTGGCCACCAGTTTCAACTGGACGCCAGCCTGCCAGCCTCTACCTTGTTAGTCCTGAAGCGATCATTTCCCCACTGTGTGCTCCACCAGTGGAATGCATTGCCCTGTGATCTGCTCCTGCATCTTTCCTATCGCAGCCGAATGCAGGCATTCATTACGCAGGTATACCGCTACCTGCGCGCGGAGAACTGGATGTGGGCTACTGACTCAGTCTAATCGCACCTATCTAGTATCTTCATGTAGGTATTGCTCTCATTTTCCTTGTTTTCTCTACTCTCTGTCTCTGTCTCTCTCATTCTTTTCTCTCTCTCTCTCCCTCTCTCTCTCTCGGTCTCTCTGTCTCTCTCTCTGTGTCTCTCTCTGTGTCTCTCTCTGTGTCTCTCTCTCTGTCTCTCTCTCTCTCTCTCTCTCTCTCTCTCTCTCTCTCTCTCTCTCTCTCTCTCTCTCAGTCCGTCTTTTTAACTCTCTCTCTCTCTCCCCCCCCCTCTCTCTCTCTCTCTCTCTCTCTCTCCCTTTCTCTCTCTCTCTCTCTCTCTCTCTCTCTCTCTCTCTCTCTCTCTCTCTCTCTCTCTCTCTTTCTCTCTCTCTCTCTCTCTTTCTCTCTCTCTCTCTCTCTCTCTCTCTCTCTCTCTCTCAGTCTCTCTCTCTCTCTATCTCTCTCTCAAGTAAAAAATGAATAAATGCACGGCTAGAAGACGCACCATCCCTCGCTAGTTTCCAGACTGTTCTCATTATCATTGCTGCCATATTCTTGTAAATGACTTGCTCCGCTGATATATCACCATGCACATGTTAGTCCGTGGACGACAGGGCTTGGCTAGGGAGGTGCCAAGCCTACTGGCTGGTCGAGCTGAAATCACCATTCCCAACACTACAGTGACTACACTGTCTGTTTTTTTACACTTTTGCCAGCTAGCTGGCCTCCGCGCACACCGCAGACACACCCACGCACAACAGAAAGATACAGATCACAATAGTAGTAGTGTGGTCTTCGTTCACTGACGGTGGAATATGGAAGAGCTTAGCGTAGTGTATACATGAGCAAGAAGAAGGGCATGCCACCTCACACATATACATGTACACGTATGTACCAGACCAACATGATGCAAAAAGTTAACCACTGTGGCGAATGGGGCCGCCGGATAATTAACCAACCCGAAGCTGGCGGAAAAAACCCCAGGACCCCGGCGGAGGCACATCCCTGAGGAAAAACCGGTTAGAATATCCCCATCAGATAAATGAAAAAACGTAGCCTGCTGGACCTATCCAGAAGTGAGAATAAAGGGGAGGGCGGGTGGGAAACTACAACAAAAAGAGAAAGACCACGATGAAGAGAAAGGCTTGAGAACACTGAAAAAACCCAGCTAACACAACCCTGGTGCCGTAACTAAGGTGAAAATGCTGGCAAAAATTAAATTTTTCTTTTCATTCGCTACGCTCAGCCAACGAAAAATAACGCTTATTTTTATTTTTATGGACCAAATCCAAAAGCGAGTTTCTTCCCAATAATAAGGTGGGGAAGAGACAACGTATAAGAGAAGGAAGAGATGAAGGTAAAAGCCCGGTGATCTTATCTACAGCAAAACAAAAGCCAGGGTGGACAGCCTAATGACTTCCAGGAAGACGTCCATTAGGGACTTGTGGGAGTTCTCAGCAACAGATGCTCCACTTATGGACTGATCTTGCTGATTACCACCATCGCCAGTGATGTCGGACTGTCCTGACAACTGTAAGGAACAAGGAACACACACACAAATCAAGAGAAGGGTCAAACGAATCAAAAGAAAACAGCAAATACACAGAAAAGCTTTCACCAGGATTACCACCTATGGCCCGCGTAATACCAAGATCATAAAAAAAGACTCTAGAGTGTTTAACTAACTTCGCATCTTTTCGCCGATGGCCGAGATTTTTCGATGTGCAATGTTAACGTAACCTTTTTCAGGAAACATCACGCGTGTCGTACAGAGCACGTGCAGAGTCGCAGACGCCACAGAGCAGTGGGAGAGCACGTGCTGGGCTCCGACCTTCAACAGGAGTCTGTGTTTTTGAGGTTTTTGTGCATCGCTTTCGCAATGGGCATGTTTGAGGTCTGAGGTGTCTGTGTGTGTACGCGCGTGGGCGTGTATGTGAGAAAAGGGACAGAGTGTGAGTGTGTGTGTGTGTAATGGTGTGGGCATGTGTGGATTTGGCATTTAAGTCCCCAGCTCTATTCTATTATCATATACGATGGAGACTTGGCAACTTCATGCCTGCACCTGACTCTTGCGCTATGATACACGTCGCCTATGATAGCCCTCAGAATTCCCCACCTTACTCCCCTTTATGTTCAGGCTGCTCGTTTTGGAGCCATCAGTTGCCTGACGATCGTAGTAATACGTGAAACTCAGAGTTGTGACAAAGCTTCAAATCTCTCTTGTAATACAGAAATACCTATATTCTGCCTGTGGCTACTCACAGAGAAAGAGTGGTCGCCACTGCAAATTCCGCATGTAACTGTTCGCTTGGAATTATAGTGGTCACAACTGTATTCTGTGACCGCTGAAAGGGAATTATAGTTTCAACAACAAATCCTGCAGTACGAATCACTCCGCGAGCAGTCTTGAACTGTGTGCTTTACACATGTACATGTATGGTGATTTGTAACTGGTCATGGGGCATTGTGACTGGTAAGCTTATTTGTGACTGGTCATGGGGAGTTTGTGATTGTTTGACTGGTCACGGGGACCGTGATTGTTCATGGGGCCTTGACTGGTCACTGAGTCCTACATATAATTATACTGTACAAGAACCTTCCTTGATATTCAAACACTAACTGTCTTGTACAGGGTCTGATCCAGAGATCTCTACAGGGGAATGCAGTTTATCCAAAGCTGAATAGCTGATACATGTATAGTACATGCATATGAATTCCAGTACAGTCAGACCTCGCCTAACCTCACACATCCCTTTTCCACAGAAGTATCCTGATAGGCGAGGGAACCGGATAAACACACATACTGTATGTTTGCATGGCATATGCTGTAAATCGTTAACCTAGGATTTTCTTGCGGATGTTGCGAGGGATCCGGATAAAGAGGGCCCGAAAAGCGAGGTCTGACTGTAGTACATTTGCGAAATTTAGGGGATTCCCCTGAACCCCCGGAACCCCTGGACTCGTCCCTGTTATAGCATACAGTGCTGTATAGCACCTTACCTGGGTGAGTTACTCGTTTTGTTTCTTCTCAAACTCTGCTTCGCGTTGTGCTCTTTTCTTCATAAATACTGAAAATAAGTCCATGGTAATGTCTGCTCTCTGGTGCACGTTGGCAGCCCGTACTATCTTCTCATGACGTGATAGGTCCGGCCACAATTCATCCAGCTCTTCTTCGTCCGGACATCTATGTTCCGTTTTGAGTAGAATTGCTAAATCTGCATTCACTGAAACCTGCATCACGTGACCAAACAACAAACGAGGCAGAGTACAGCAAGGGTATGACAATAATGTACAGAGTACAGAGTACAGAGTACAAGAGAGTATGGCAAGGGTACATGTGAACCGGCGTGTATCACTGCATATTGACTAGAACAGTGATATGTATACAAGAAGACTAAAGATAATAATTGTATGAGCTGTCGACGAACTAAATGTCCCTTAGGACCTGATTTCAACTTTCATCAAAATGTGACGTCAAAGTTACTCAAAGAAAACGCGACCGCGATCGATCGTGAAGGCAATGAAGTCGATCTTGACTTTTTTTGTTTGCAGGTTAGATCGATCAATCGATCCATTGTAGGCAGCCAGAATGGCGAGAACTAGTAACAATGTTGCATTGAGTTTGTCGGTGTGTGAAGGCAATGCTGCAACCAACCAAGCCCCCAGCTATAGCTAGCATGTGCACACGGCAAAAACGTCAGACGCACCATGGCTTTCAGTTGAAGTTGACACCCCCTCGCACAGCCCCTAACTATCTCCTGCGATCCTTCCCCTTCTTCGCCATCACACCCTGCAACAACCTGCCTGCGGACCTCCTGCTTCATGAACCTCATTCAGGGCGCCTCCAAACCTTCAAGATCAACGTATGTAAGGATCTAATCGGAAAGAGATGGCTGTGGTGCACACAGTACTAGTAGCTGTGACGATGATATTGAGACCCATTTATCTTTCTACTAGTACTTTGCTTGTTATGATTATTGTATTCTTTTTTCTTTTTCCCTTCCGGTTTAGTTATTACACGTCATTATATTATTTGGTGGAATATTGGCGGCCCTTTCTCGCACCAATATATTGTTATTTTACTTGACCATGCAATGCCCATTTGATGAAAACCAGTTTGGCTTCAGGAAACATTGTTCCACCGTGCAGCTGCTAACGAAAGTCACGAAGGACTGGCTCCATGCCCGTGATGGAGGCCTTTCCGCAGGTCTAGCCTGCATAAACCTACGGAAAGCGTTTGACGCAGTCCGCCACCAAATACTCCTCGAGTCCCTCTCCAGCGCAGGAATTGGTGGAATACCACTGAACTGGTTTGCGTCGTATCTGTCGGAAAGGACACAGCGGGTTGTAACCCAACGTGGATGCTCCAGCACCTTGGTCGTCTCAAGTGGAGTTCCTCAGGGCACTGTCCTGGGGCCTGTGCTGTTCAATTTGTATGTCCGTGAGCTCCCCAAGACCGCAGAAGCGCATGGTTTACATCTCCCCATGTTCGCCGATGACATGACTCTGTACACATCCCACAAATCCCTTCACCTTGCTGCACAAACACTTAACTTGGCGCTCTCGTCACTCTCTGCTGCTGTATTGGACCTTGGTCTAATGGTTAATGTAGACAAGCCTGTTGTCTTGTTCCTCTCCCATCCCCAGTTCCAAACCCGCCTCCACTTATCTCCATAAATCATGTCCCTCTGACCGTGGTTGACTAAACCAGAATCCTAGGCGTAAACATAGACTGCCGCTTGACCTGGACACCCCATATTGATGGCATTGTACGCAAGGTGTCAAAGAAGGTAGGCGCTCTCCAGCTGTCTTTCAGATGTTTGTCAATACCTGCTCGCCGTTCCTGCTGTCATTCTCCCGGAACGTTTGTATTGCTCCGCTTCTTTCCTCACGAAGTTGTCTGATCAGGATAGGAACAGATTACAATCACTGTTTCGGCGTGCTGTTCGCGCAGCATGTGGGGCTGAACACTACTACCGAAGTGAATATATCGCAACAATATTGCTCAAACCTGAAAATGGGAGTGCGACTTATATTCGGGGAAATACGGTATCCTAAGGTCAAAAAGAGACTCAAGGGTCATAAACGTTCAGGGCAAATACCTAAGCCATAGTCTAGACGAGTGTTTGTCAGTTCAACAAGCAATCTTGATCCAGCATTGGATTGTTGAAACTGTTGCAAAAGAAGGATCCACGAGCGGGATTCGAACCCAGCACCCCTGTCTTTTCGAGACAGTGCCCTACCGGCTAGGATACCATAGATCACACACACCGGAGATCACCCACCACGGGGATCACACACTGGGGATCACGCACCCGGCTGTTGGGCCCATCTTGCCACAAAACTCACTGGTGCGTCACTGAGGTCCACCATGCCTGGCCAGGAAGGCAATTGATGTTCCTGCTGATGGTGTTGCTCGTGCGTTGGCTCTGGCTGCTCCTGGGGTTGCTCCAGGGATTCAGGTGATGCTTGCAACTGCGGTGGCGAACCGCAAGACTGCGCTGGAGGACTCTACAAGGAACGGAAAGATCACCAATAACAGGATTCAACACAATGAATAAAGCGAGTTGCGCATTCATCATGCCTATCTTTTTCAGGAGGTTGATAACATGATTAGGATATTCTCAGAACAAATTCACAATGCACATAGAGAGCTGGAGCACATATTAAAATGGTGCCTACTAGTGGGTATTTAGATCATACTTACTGTATCACTATTATGATATTATCAGACATATATGTATCACAAAGATCACAATCACATTGGCAAATAATTACTGTTTATATAACACTCCTTTTTAGGGAACAGTGCAGTGCGATATGGAAATGTGCAGTGGTATTTATTGACTCAAAGCAAATTGATGTGTATGTGTGTGGTTATGTTTGTGTGTGTGTGACTATGTGTGTCTGTTTACTCACACTGCGCTGGTGTCCCGACAGTGCCTTCACCGAATATCCAGAGTAAGGTGGGTGACCATGCTGCACCGGTCTGTTGCCGGGACGATAGTACGGAGAGCTCGTATCAGCGTATACAGCTCTGCCACTCGGTCCCCTGGGGGAGAATGCCGTTGGCGTATTACCATACTGTAACTGTTGTAGACTGCTGCCAGTCGTTGCTGGCGGCAGGGGAGGGTCTTGCGGCTGCTGCTGTTGTTTCGTCTGCTGCTGTTGTTGCGGCTGCTGCTGCTGTTGTTTCGGCTGCTGTTCCTGCGGCTGCTGTTGTTGCGGCTGCTGCTGTTGTTGACGCTGCTGTAGGCGCTCAATAAGTGCCAACAAGCCTTTGTACCTTGCATATGTCTGATTCAACGAGAGCACATCATCAGGAATATCGCAAAGAAATAACAGAATACATTGCCAGCCCTCGTCAATGACACCGTAAAAGAGCACAGTGATTCAGGAACCCCGAAAAGGGAAGTGAATTGCACTTGCACAAGAGTTCTGCTACTGAAGCCCAGTATTCCAAGCACTCAAACATGCTTAGCTAAAGTGCCCATTGGAACACATCTACAGATTGTTGTTGTTTGGCTTTATTTAAAGTGGAGTTCCAAAACAGGCCTAAACCTAATGACAATGGTCCCACTGATAATAAGAGAAAAGAAAATATAATAATAAGCGGACAAACAGAACCAAGAAGAAGATACAGCTGTAGTTAGATAACTAATATGAGCACGACAGCAGGGGAAAAAAAGTCACAAGCACGGCAACCGGGAAGAAAGGAGTGAGTGAGTGAGAGAGAGAGAGAGAGAGAGAGAGAGAGAGAGAGGTAGTGAAGCAGATGAGTTCATCCTAGTTGACGGTACTGCCTAACAGAAAGGCCAGGCTTAGCGATTTGAAAGTGGAGCGCTTTCTTTCGAGGCGTGCTGTGTCTGGGAGCTGGTTCCACAGGATAGCTCCAGCATGGCTAATGCGCTTAGCTGAGGATGCAGTGGGGGAGACAGGAATGATGAGTAACTTGCTGTTCCCTCCTCGTGTTCGGAGAGAGGGACTACGGGTGAAAAAGCTTGCAAACAGAGTACTTGAAGATTTGTTCAGGCAGCGCCAAATGAATACAAGGATGTGCATGTGGGTGTATATGCTGAGGGTATGGGCATTCATGCGTTCAAGTAAGGGAGCCGTGTGAGTGCTCAATCCAGCTGGGAATTTCCCTGAACGTGCAGGACCCTTGAGTCTCTTTTTGACCTTACTGGTATTCACTCAAATTCAAGCTATGAAAGGTCATCCACAGTTATATTACTGGTAGTAGCATGGCTAGGTATACTGAAGTCAAAACTGTGTTCACCTTGATGATCCGCCATGCCTGAGATTTTGGTGAATATTGTTGTTTTTTGTTTTGTCTTTGTTTTGTTTCCCCTTCTTTCGTAGGTATGTGCAATGTGATAAAAAACATGTGACTAGTATTTTAAAATATACTACTACATGTACACGTAGTAGTATTTGTGTCAAAACACGTGACTAGTGATTCATGCTCAGCAGCTCATACTTCAAGTAGTAAAACATGACAAAGAAAACTATGAAAACTCACCTGGTCATCAAACAACGCCGGATTGATGCCAATGTTTGGCGTATCCAAATCCATAACGCCAGGGTCGATCTGGTAAGCTGGAGTGGTCAACAACTGCGTGGGTTTCTGCGAGGTCTCCAAAACATTGACTCGCGCCTTCAATTGGACATTCTGCATGCAACAATAAACGCACAAGGGAGAGTATTGGTCTCGTGTTTACAATGACAGATGGTCGAATAAAAGTAGGCACTGCTGACACGATAACTCGAGAATGAGATATCTGTGACTCGCTCTCTTTGTCGCTTCCCCTGTTTCGTCCTATAGGCCATTGTTGGCAATCACCCATATCTCTAAATTACTTGGCAGTCTCAACGACATGCTATGAAATATTGATAGCTTCCAATCTCTCTTGTGTATGATGATAATTATAAAACATGGATCATAGGACCAGTAGGACTCACCTCCTGACTCAATTTCTCCACCTCCGATTCCAATTTCTTCAAATAGGCTTTCGCCCTTTCTCGTGATGCACGAGCAGATGATGCATTTGCTAGTTTCCTACCAAAAAAGCATCGCACAGCAGAAAAACTAATAAGAAATCTGGAATAAAGATTGAACTAAAATACTAATTGATTGAAGGAAATTCTTCAATGTAGCACATGCATCTGCGTAATCCACACCAGTCCAAATCAACAATAGGGAATTTAAAAACTGAACATTTTTGTTCCCTTCTCTTCATAGGCTCTTATAGGGAATACAGGAAAAATGACTAAGATAGTTTATATGTATTTGAGTACTTAGTAAGACAGTGTAAGGATTGCAATAAACAGAACCAGCTGAAGCAACATTGTTGTCACATGACTGTTGTCGCTGCCTTTTCAAATATGACTAAGACAGCAAATTATAACATGGGCAAAGCATTGAGGGAGATAAACATCACCCTACAAAAACATTAGCGGGTCAAAAACAGCATGAAGATCAAATCATAATACTAACAAATTGAACGCGTCCATTAGTTCTTCCGCCTGTGTCTACGCAATATGGCATGCGTTCTATTTCTTTCCTGGCGGCAGACAGATGGAATGCTCTTCCCATTGACTGCCGTCAGGCCCCGTCTCTTATGTAAACATGGTAAAATGTCACCTAGGGTTCCCAGTAAAAAGGCAACGCCTGTTGGGACTCCCCTAGTAAAATAATAAAATCTACTACTACTACTACTACTACGTACATTTATCCTCATTTGAAAATACCGCCATTCCGGCAACAGGCTCTCAGCCGAACCAAATCGATAAATAAATAACTTTGCCAATGTTTCGCCCATTGTGCATCAACAGTGCATTGAGGAAGAGGAGGCAAAAAGCAAGAAACAGCTGAGTTCACGTCATAGTCTCTTTCTGCCATTTTCAACCGCTGCTTGCTGTCCAGTACTCAGGCCAGGGGTGGAAATCTGCCGTTGTTGTACCTGTGTTCAAGGGGAAAGATAATCCTTCCCACCCAGTCCATTACAGTCCTATATCATTGTTGAGTGCAGTTGCCAAATTGTATGAGTCTATGATTAGCCCAGTTTTACTCGTTTTTATCAGCTCCAGCCAGTTTGGATTTTGTCAAAAGAGGTCAACAGTCAATCAATACAATTTTCCCCACTTCTCTCCTCATCAATCCCTACTTCTCTTTGTACATACATCTACATCTACTGTTCTTTCAATCAAATGAACCTCTCGATAGGCAGATTGCCTGTGGGTCATTTCATAATAATAATAATAATAATAATAATAATATTAACTGGTTTGAGGGAAAGAGACAAACGGGAAAAATAATAATAATAATAATAATAATACACAGAGGCAATATGCTTTGGTTCTGCAAGAGTGCTCAATGCCTGATTCAGGCAGAGCGGCGTACACAAAGGCACACAATGAAAAACCTTGGCAAATTTATTCCGTTGTGACTCAGAGTTTCATGGCTGAACCAATCATCAGACAACGATAATGGAATAGGAGGCAGCGCTGGTATATCTAAGTGGAGAGAGGTGTGATAATACGATAGCGAGAGGAGTAATCGCGTGAATGTATACAGGGACGAGCTATTTCAGAAGCAGATGCAGTAGGCGCAGGTCTAGCACTAACAAGTACGCGCTTAATCTCGCTCACACACCACACACACACATACTAACACGCACACACATAGTAACACTCACACACACATACACGCCCACACTAACACACACACACACACATACACCCACCCACAACACCCTAACTTGCACACGGGCGCACGCACACACAGGACACCCACCCACCCACAACACCCTAACTCGCACACGCACAAACACACGCACACACGCATATACACACACCTATAGACACATGTCCACACGTATACACAGGCATCTGCATTCGTACGACAAATCTAAGCGCACACAAACTCCTACAATCACGCGTCAAAAAAAACCGCAGCGGTCATAGCTGTCTATGTAATAGGGGTGGCCAGCAGAAACTTGCGCTGGTGAGGGCATTTAGATACCAGCTCACTTCTCTTGTTTAGGGAGGTAGCTTTTGAAGCTTTCAGGATGTGGAACTTTTCGGTTAAGCATAGGCCACACTTCTTGCTGATGTTACTGTACGAAGGTGCTCTATCCTTGATCTCCCATCTGATGTCGAATCCGCGGTTCTCGTTTTTCAGATCCCAGATGTGCTTGGACAACTTAGTCGATGCGGCGTACTTTTCATGGCGGAAGTCCGAAGTGTGTTTGTTGTAGCGCTGCTTGAATGTGGTAGCAGTCATGCCGACGTAGGTCTTGGCTTCGTTGGATGCTACATGCGCCTCGTACACGACGTCGGAAGACTGGCAGTCACCGTTGAGGGGGCACGACGCCTTGACCCGACAATTACATGGCACAACTGGCGGTCGTGAGTGAAGTTTTGCAGCATTGTGCCCTTTGATAATCGACGCTTAGTTCTTCATACAGCTGTAGCTTACTTTTGTTGTGTTCTTGTTAAACACCTTGTGTAGCGCCGACCCTTCGTGGTACTGTACGGCGGGTTAAACAAAATGACGTCACGGCTGCGCCCTTTCTTCGCTTTTTTCTTCTTGTTGCTCGGTTCATCCTTGTATGTCATGGTTTTCGGGTGGCCACTTCAGGCCAGTGCTACACAAGGTGTTTAACAACACAAGGTGTTTAACGGCAGGAGTGGGCGTTCTGTCACAGACTCCCACAGACCCAAGGCAATTTTTGAATTTTTTTAGGTTCAGGGCGTGCTACGAGGTCAACAACAGCAACAAGAACAACAACAACAACAACAACAACAACTACAACAATAACAACAACAACAACAACAACATCAGCCGCAACAAGAGCAGCAACAACAACAACAACAACAGCAGCAACAAGAGCTGCAACAACAACAGTGACAACAACAATAACAACAGCAGCAACAACAGCAGCAACACAGCAACAACAGCAGCAACAACAGCAGCATCAACAACAGCAGCAACAACAGCATCAACAACAGCAGCATCAACAACAGCAGCAACAACAGCAGCCGCTGTAACAGCTACAACAATAGCAACAACAACAGCAGCAGCAACAATAGCAACAACAACAGCAGCAGCAACAACAGCAACAACAGCAGCAGCAACAACAGCAGCAACAACATCAGGAACAACAGCAACAACAACAGCAGCAGCAATAGCCGGAACAAAAGCAACAACAGCAACAACGACAGCAACAACAACATTGTGCTATATTGAAGAATTGGAGATGGTTCCAATTTGCTCCGGGAAATACCTTCTTTGATCTCGCTCATCGTCCTGAAGATGACTCAGGTTTTCCCGCGGCTTCCGAGCCGGCTTTTCCTGCTGCGGGATCAAACCTTTTTCAGCACTCATGGTGACCGTGACTACTGAGTGTGACGGTTGTAGGCAAACAAACTTTGCAAGGAAAGCAAAAGAGCGGGGAACGCAAGAAGAGTTTGGGAGAGTCTGTAGCTGCTTCTTACTCTGTCAATCCAGGAAAGTTATGCTGGTTTTCATGAGCAACGTGGTTTTATAAAGGAGAAAGCTTCTCCGCTCTCCTACGCGACATAGCGTGACTGACTTCCGTGAACCATTCCACCTCTCAAAGAGATAATTAGTTTTTCAGTACAGTGTGCATGGTTCAAGTGCATGTGGACCCTACATCAGCCACACACATACTTCGGCTTCTTGGCACCTTTTAACTTGCGGTAAACAGAATACAATGGGCTTGGACCGATAGTTGGATGCGCGGGGATAGATCACCCTCGTATCAGAGAATGCATGGCTAGTTTCCTGCAGACCTATTGGTTGAGAACTATTGAGCAGATCAATGATTATTGCGTATTAGAACCTTCACTATACTGTCGTTTTATTCTCTACCAACGCGCAGTTTTGGCGAACAATACTAGAGGTCCGCAAGGGCTTCCTGCGTCACAACTCGGTGGGCTCTGTAAGGAGCTGAATGTGCTGCAAGCCTACCCACCAACCCGAATAGAAACTTTGCCGTGTATTTGGCCCCCAACAGCGAATCGCAACACCACGACGACACTGAGATGGCCGCAGAATCCCTGATCACTGGTCCATCCGCACAGCAGATCAACTCTGAGACTGAGGACGTTACGTGTTTCAGCATAGCACTCGTATTGGATCTTCATTGCCCGATGGGCTCGCATGCACTACCGCATGACTATACTGTAGTACGCGTTCGACCAAGGAGAGTGGGCCCTTTCTGCTCCAGCGAAGTATTGCTCCTATTGCAAGAAGATTGGTCGTGACAACTGAAATTTTGGATTCCTATCCGCGTAGCGCTACAAGACCAGTAGTAGGTGAGTGTACTTTTACTGATGAGGATGCAGCAAGGCTTAGGGTGCTGCTGCACTGGAGTGGCAAGGGTGCTGCTGCACCGGTGCAGCAAGTGTGCTGCTGCACTAGTACGCCGGGTCGCCCGCCTGCTGTCGGTGCGTGGAAGGGAGGCGTACTCTATGGTGGTTTCCGATCTTCGCTGCAGGCTGGCTTTCGCCCCGTTGCGTTTGAGTGTTGTGTGTCTGCTTGGGGCTCAACGAGTTTGGCAGCCTCCTATGCTCTTGCCCTTGCTGTCGTGGGGGCCCTTTGTGCCTTGGTCTAGGCTTGTGACTTGAGCATGTATGAGCTTCTCTAGCTCTCTGATCACTTTATTTTAAATATAGTTTTGTGGATATTTACCAAGAAAAATGGCTTTCATTATGTGTGTTGTTTTCCAAACCTTAACCCTGGCAAATTGTGTTTTGTTCGCCCATAAAGAAGCTTTGGGCAACCCCTCCAAAAAATAAAACGAGAGTTTCCAATTCACGTTTTTCCAAATTTCGAAAGTGAGAAGAAACGTGCGTTGGATCGATATTTTCACCTTGAGTTGGCCCACTGTCGCGTTGAAATCTCACGTCGCAACATGTTGAATGCCATTTTGGCCGTGAGATCTCCCGGGAGAAATTGAAGAAAAAAACGTGAACTGCGTAAATTGTCTGATGCCAACCTACTAGCGGCACTGTATCTGGGTTTTTTGTTCTGTTTGTAGTCTATGGTCGGTAGTCCGTTCCAATGAACCCATTTACATGTGGCAACCGAACAACCGAATTATGGACGGCTAGAAGACGCACCATCCCTCGCTAGTAACCAGACTGTCCTCATTATCACTGCTGCCATAATCTTGTCAATGACTCATTCCGCTGATATGTCACTATGCAAAGGCTAGTCCGTGAACGACCGGGCTTGGTTAGGGAGGTGCCAAGCCTATTGGCTGGTCGAGCTGAAATCCCCACTCTCAAATTTCCAGTGACAACACTGTCCGCCATTGCCAATATCAGGGTTTCTCCGACGAGTTAACATAATTGTGGTTCACAATGGATGTGTTCACGATGGGTGTAGAACTGGAAAACTTTCTGACCGAGTTGGCCATGCTCCTTATTCATACCTTAGCGCTATATATACTGTTTTCTGAGCTAGCCCGAACGTGAATGAGCATCATGCTTCAATAGCCGTGAGCATTTACATAGTTCGACTGGCTTGTTTCAAAGCCACCACGAAGAAATCCAAAGCAAGAATCCTGTGTTGTATTTTTTCTGTAGCTTGCTGGACACGGTCTATATCGTGACGTAAACAATGGCCGACAATGTACAATGTCATGTATATGTATAGTTTGTACCTGTAAGAACGTACATTGATAACTGGTCACGACATGCAGAGCTTCAGTACAAACGAAAATACAGTGGAAGGAAAAAGAAGAAACACTTAATTATCACAACTATCACAAATCATGGAACTTTGATTCTGAACGAAAGGCAATCATCTAAATGGCTGCCTCGACTTTCTTGTGTATGAGCGTGGTGAGGTACAATTATGAAAGATATATTATGTAGGTCAGCACGTGGACATGTTCATTGTAAGTACATGGAGTGTTTTCCTTAGTTTCCAGGTATAAACAATATCATACTATCGCAAACGATAACTCTGCAAATCTTTTAATTAAAACCAATAGCCACTGCCATCATCTAAGTCTCTAATGCAACTCATATTGTGGTGTTATTGGGACCTCGCCTCCGCTGCTCTTGGTGCCTCACTCGTTCTTGTGTCTTACTTTTTATTTTATTTTTAGGGATACATGTGAAGATCTGTTTTTCTTCGTTTTACGGTCCCTTGTTTTTTTGCAATACCAATTCGGCGGAGAGAATGGAACTCTCCAAAAACCACAAGTAACTCTAAAGCACGAAAAAGGGCCAAAAACTAAACCAAGAACATGTGCATTAACGATTTAACATGTTATTTAGAAAGTTAGTGTCTGACTGCTCCTCTTTGGATTCAGCGCTGACTTCACCAGGGCATCCTTCTTGTGTCACGCTGCACTTCTTTGGATTCAGCGCAGACTTCAGGAGGGCAACCTTCTTATGTCACGCTGCACTTCTTTAGATTCAGCGCTAACTTGAGGAGAGCATCCTTCTTATGTAACAAGGAGGCACTGCTGATACGAGAACTCGAGAATGAGATAATTATTATTATTATTAGACACAATCTCATAGCATGTGACAAGCATAGCTAATGCAGGGACAGAATCCCCTGAGACAAGGGCGTTGAGCCAGCCACGGCAATAGTAAGCTAGGAAAACAAAGCAAATATGAATTAGAGCAGAAAATGAATGGAAAATTACAAAGAAAAACGATTAACGGAAGTGAGCACTATCAAAATTCGTGCATCACCCAGGTATTCGAGAATGTTCTTCGATGATAATTATTGCGTCTAGCTCAGTTGTGATAGTAGATCTTTAAACTGACCAATAGAAGAACAAGTTTTCAGAACGTATGGTAATGATAACCAATGAGAGTAGCCGGAAAACAAAGGGGACTTTAGATACTGGGCTGACTTAACAAGAGGCAGGATGAGCGCGTTACGGGTTGAGCTTGTCGAAAACCAATTGTACTTCATCATGTGTGAAGGGGTTTTATGAAGAAATATTTTATGAACCAGTGTACAGAGATGGTGCTTATGACGAACGGAGAGAGGAGAAGTGTGTGCAAGTCGATAAAGGGCATCCGAAGGAAAACATCGATCCTTGTTGTAAAGAATTTTAAGTATAAATCTATGGTGGACTTCTAATTGGTTCAGAGTTGTGTCAGAAAGGCCACACCAAGCGGTATCGCAATAGTCGAATATAGGGAGAATATAGCACTGATAAAATAATAGTTTACACTGGATGGGCAAATGAGTGCAATGTGGTTGTAGTACCCCTAATGCTGAACTGGTTCGCTTGCATACACAGTTGACATGTGCAGCCCAAGAGAGTTTGCAGTCAAACATCACACCGAGATGTTTGTGCTGAGTAACAACACGGATAGGCATAGTCGAGTCAGGGAAGTATAATGGTTGATCAGGAGGGGATGAAGAAATATACATGGCTTCTGTCTTGTCTAAATTGGGCTGGAGTTTCCACGTTTGCATCCACATGACAGTGCTGTTGATACGATGCTGCATGGTAAGGAGTAATTGTGCAGGGGAGGAATCAGAACAGATAAGGCCAGTGTCATCCGCATACAAACTAACATCGGGGACAACTGAAGGTAGGTCATTAACGTAAAGCAAGAATAACAAAGGACCCAGAATGGAACCTTGGGGCACTCCAGACGTTACAGGGAGGGGATCAGACAAGAAATAAGACAAGCGAACAGCCTGAGAACGAGCAGACAGATACGAGGATATCCAACGCAAGGCAGCATCCTCCACCCGGAAGGTGACCTCCAACTTGGCAAGTAAGCCACGATGCCAAACGGTGTCGAATGCCTTAGCCAAGTCGAAAAACACCATTCCCACATGCTCCCCACAGTTCCTCTTTGTCGCTATGTCTTGGACAAGTCGAGTCACCTGGTATTGAGTTGAGTCACCACGGCAGAATCCCGACTGAGCTGGTGAGAGAGCCGGAGCGATGTGCAGGTAGAGGGAATCGAATACAATACGCTCACAAAGTTTGGAAACTGTGCGCAGCAGAGAGATGGGGCGGTAGTTTGCCGGGCAAGCACGGGAGCCTTTATTCTTGTAAAGCGGTGTCACGATGGCGGATTTCCAATCCTGTGGGAATGTACCAGTTCGAAATGACATATTAAAAATAATGGCGAGAGGATAGGCTATTGATGGTGCAAGAGACTGCAGCACTTCATTCGGGATCCCATCTGAGCCGGGAGACTTTCCACATTTCAGGCGCTTCAGATATTTCCGAACTTGAAACGTAGTGACAGTGATTGTACGGAACGGAACAGATATGAAAGGCGACTGGGACAAAGGGGGAATACGCCACGAAGGATCATCAGGTAGCCCAAATGAGGTGAACTGAGTGTTCAGAACATCAGCTATGCTCTTGGGGGACGTGGCGACCGTACCGTCGGATGCTATCATCGTTTGGGGCATGACACGGCCGGAAGTGTGCCGCTGTGCTCGCACAAACTGAAAGA